GCCAAAGAAAGAACATAGGTTTTCTAGCCAAATAGGAGAGTCGATTCACTTTACAATCTTACGATTCTTATTTTGAATTGACGTTGCAGGGAATCCAGCGATTACGATTAGGGTTTTGCGAATGTCTGGAACGCATGTGTTTGCTTTATAAGGAGAGCATTTGCCGGGACTAAATCTCATAGTGCATATGATGTTTGTTCCGTATATTTTTTGTAAAGCGAGTTTTGTTGGCTCTTGATAGGAACGTTTCCTTCAAATAGAGATAAACATTAACCATATCTGATGACAGAGTGACATCATCAGATATCATAAAAGGTAATTATTTATTTTAAATTAGCTATTATCATTAGCAATCCATAATAATTCATTTTGCGCATTTTACACCACTAACTCAATGTGATTAGGATTCCATTGATGGCTAGATTCATATGATAGTTAATTCGGTAACCAAAAAAAATCTACAGCGAAAGGTTTTGTGGAAAACATTTGTTTCTTAGCTTATAATGCGTGAAATTTGTGTTTTAATAAAATGTGCATATTATAAGATTTTTTTTTCAAAGTTGTAAATTACAATCATTGTTTCCTTAAAATCAAGGTAACGGATGACTTAATAAAAGTAGTGTAACAACAAGATCAAAAATGATGACATTAGATGATATCTTTCTCAACTTTCTCTTCACATTAGTAACATACTTATCTATACTTCTCTTCTTCTATGGGTCTTTAGAAGGATTTGTTGAAATATGAGGCTGAATCTCAGTGTGCACATGATACTTGTTTTGTAAATTTTTTGCCCCATGAATTTATTAGCTCTTAATAGGATTGTTTTAGGAATTTGATAAACATTAACCAAATACAATGTTTGAGTGACATCATCACATATTTTTAAAAGGGTATTAGTTGTTTTAAAATTAACTAAAATTCATTAACGTTCCAAAATGACTCTTTTTGCGCACTTTACGCTTCCAGCTCATTGTGATTAGGATTCCATCATTAGCAAGATTCATGTGATAGTTGATTCAAGTACAAATATAAATGTATCGAGAAAGGTTTTGTGGAAGACTTTTGTTTTTTAGCTTTAATTTATGGTTCGTGAAATTCGTGTTTCAGCCTAATTTGCTTGTTATAAGGTTTTTTTTTTTAAAAAAAAAAAATCTTAATTACAAACTTTTTGTTCTTAAAACAAGGGAAAGCTAGGATTTAATAATTTTTTTTTTCCTTTCAAAAAAAAAATAATAATATTTTTTTTGTTACAAGAAACAAAATCAAAGATATGAGAAGAGACCGTACATGTAAAAAAAAAAAACAAAACAAAAAAAAACGATGATTGATGACAAGGATTTTTTTTTTAATCCTATTTTCACAATAGTAATAAATATATATTGACAATTGTTGAACTGTTATGATAAAAGGTTTTGTGGAATTTTTATCCCTTAATTAGATCTGTGATGCGAAACTTGTTTCATAAAAAAAATTGCATGATATAATTTTTTTTTTTTGAAGAACATTACGTTACAAACCTTTTATTCTTACAAACTAGTGCGTGGCCCGGGCGTTACACCGGTTTGTAACTTTAATTAAACCTTGCGATTATATGAATTTAACCATCTTTCCCATAAAAGGTTGGGTGATCGAATTTTTATCCTTATGTTTTTTATATGGAGTAATAGTAGCGTCACATAATGATTAAGGTTGATTGAGTGGTGATATGACATAATGAAATGTTGAGTTGGTGACGTGACGTAAGTGAAAGAATCTACGTGGCACATAGACTTTGTTAGGAATGACAACATATTTATTTTTTCAACTTTAATTTCTCCCTCCCATTACAGTATATGCTTCAATATATATATTCCTTGACACCATGGGTTTGACCGTAAGTATTTTAATAATTGTACCGCCTATCAACACCACCAATGGCGAGTATGAATTTTAACCTTAATGCCTATTAGCCACTAAACTCATACTATACCTTATTACCTACTCCAACTTAAACGGATATATCATGTGAAATCCACAAATTATACTCACCTGTTATTCCTATTTTAAAAGTTATCACAATATTTGTTAACAAGAAATTACACACAACTACTTTGTAATAAATATTTAGTAAGGGAGGGAACACAGATTCAAAATAAAGAGGCAGACAAATTAAACTATTGAATGAATATGGTCTTGCCAAAAAATAAAAACAAGATTATGTGCCACAATTGGCCTATTATAAAGCATAGCCACCAAGTGGAAATACATGGAAATGAGAAGCTTGTGATCGTATTCAACGCTCATTATATATATATATATATTTTTAATCATCATTATATTATATTAATTATTACTCCGTATTACATTGTAATATTGTATAGTATTATTATGTACAAGTATAATATTATATTTTCCAAATTTGGTGACCGAATTATGTACCATGGTGGCGGGGCAGTCTTCATCAATTGTTTATTGACGATGTCGATTATTTTTCCTCCCAAAGGATTTGGTCACACTTCATGTTAATTATTCTTAATTTAGAAGGGTTTCTTCGTGCCATCCAAAAAGAAAAAATTATCTTCATACCTAAAAAATAGTCTTATTCAAGATATGATAGATCTATATGCATATATTTTTAAATTTTCATTACAATAATTGGTAAAGTTTATTAAACTTTCAACTTCTCTCAAAATATTACTAATTATAAAATATAGTATAAGTAAATCTGGTATTGAATAATTCGAAGTATACATACTATATAATTATTAGTATAATATAATGATGATCTAACTAAATGCATCATGAAATATAGTAGATATTTTACAATATGATATAAATGCATTGCATTCTTCTTAATTTGTTTGGTTTTATTATTCGAGGTTAGAAATTAGCCTTTTGGTCGGCCATACTATGTACAAATTGTTTAAAGTTCGGATTACAATTAATCTATTTTGAATAATTATATAATTTTTCTTATGAGAAAAAAAACAAAAAAATACAGAAAGTTGAGATACTATTTCTGAAGTCGAATTAGTTTAATTAATAATAATATATTATGTAAAATTACTTCTTGTATTACATTTCAAATACAGAGGATCAAGGTAAAGATAAAGCATATGAAATACACGTATAAACACAACTTATTTTTGACAAACCGTATGAATACAATATACAACTTAACACTAGAAGTTGATGATACAAGTTGTGATTGAGTTGGCAAATATTGACTTTCCTATATAGTTCTTGGCTGTAATGTGAAGCTCAAGGTAAAGTTGCTATCAAAAACTTACGAGCCAAGTTGTCAAATTTGAACAGCATGTGGTTAGCTTAGCTTTCTTTTATGCAACAAGAAGCAACGTTATCTACCAATTACACACGATTATATATGTATGTCTATTTTTGGAAACATCCCAATTGTTAAATCTATTAATAGTAAGTAACAAACCGTGTTTCAGCGTGATATTCTGCGTGTTCAGTTGAGTACATTGTTGAATATGCTGATTTTTATTTGCTGCCACTGCCAATTGCCAGCCTGATTTGGGGGTAAGTAGTCTACTTCATGTGGTGCAAGGTGGTTTTGCATGTTAATTGTTTGCCATAGGCCTCCTCTATTTGAGGGATATTTCAGGGTTTTTGTTACTTTGCATGCTTGTCACCTTAGATTGGTAGATTTTATAAACTATAAGAATATGAAGTATATAATAATAAATCTTAATTTAATTTAAGGCCTTGCCTAGATAAGGTATATATAATTTTGATTTTTAAAGGGGTAGATATTATGTGGTTAGCTATTACACAGAAATGATTCATATGGTGAGCTTTTAAAGGGGTTATTTGATTTAAGTTGAGGTTTGGAATATAGGTAAATAATACTTCCTCCGTCCCTTTATTTTTGCCCCATTGCCATATTTACAGTCAAACTTTGAAAATTTTGAACATAAATTACCGTTAATCTATAAAAGATAATTTAGTCATGAGGGGTCTTGTTAGATTTGTCTCAATTGTATATTTTATTAATATTAAGTTTTGTAATTTTTACGTGTATGAAAATAAAGATATAGACGCTTTAATACGCGTCTTGAAGACCGTAGACAGTCAAATGGGGCAAAAATATAGGGACAGGAGTACCATCCTAACCCAACCAGGCCACAACTCACATCGACTGCACCATAATCTCATACATAACCTCCAACCACAAACCACCTCACCTACACTGAGAGTCTCAGACTGATTGTCCCTACCACCATCTTTCACTGAGTTATTTTAACTGTTAGAACACTACCAATGGTGAGCTAAAAATTTGCTCATGGGCATTTTGGGTGGGCATAAAATTTGCTCATGCATTACAATGGTGAGCAAATGAGAAAGACTTGAGCATTTTTGAAGATGAATAGTGCTCTTGTGGGCCCCACAATTTGCAATGGTTATATTTTTTGGGCTTAATTAGAAAATAACACCTGTTAAAAGACCTAATTTTGTTTTTAACACCTTAAGATTTCGAAGTTTAATTATAACACCTGTTAAAAAATAAAAATTTTGCTTTCACCACCAGATAACAGAAACTGTGACGGAATTTTTTGGTGGGGCCCACATAGTCGTTTACCCTCCAAATTCCATCCCCTTCAATTCGAATTTATCTTCTCTGTCATTTATTACCACCCAACTAATTTTGCTTCATTGAATTTCGTCTGCAAATCTTGAACAACCAAAATTACTGCGAACATTCAAACCCTATACTGATTATTGTGATTGAGAAATTGAGTTGGAAGAGGAGGTGTCAATATTGGAGCGAAACAAGTCAGCGAGATTCCGTCAGCCATTTCCAACATCCAAAAAGCTTGGACTTTTTCGTGGATTGTGACAGCAACAAGAGTAAGATTCCAATACAGGTACCTTTCGAACCCTTTAAGGTAGTTTTCAACAAGTACTGTGTGCTGCATTATGCCATTTGTGTGGGTGTAGTAGGGTAATTTGGGAAAAAAATTAGGAACCCTAAGAACAGTAAAGTGGGTTAATTTGTAATTAAAGTTGAATTTGATTAAATTAAGTATGATTTAGTGTAATGTGTGAATTATTTAGTTTAAATCATTGATTTTATTGACTGTTGACTGGTTTGTCATTGTGTTGGTTTAAATATGTTTGATTTTGTTGATTAAAGTATTGCGGTTGACTGTGTAATGGGGTTAGCTATGTTGGGTTTTATTGATTTGCTTTGCATTTGTTTATTAGGTAGAAAAATGGCCGACAACGAAGATGGATTAATTGATATAGTATTTAGAGTAGGGGGTGCTTTTGTTACTAAACAAGTGTCAAAATCAAAGCATTTGCTTTGTTGGTGTGGTGGGTTATGTTATTGGAGGAGGGATGTGGTAGTGGATAAGATAGATTTGCATTATTTGAGGGTAGCTGTTGTGCTGTGCATGGGCTTGGATGGCAAGATGTAGAGCTAAGTTGATCATTTTTGGTTCAGCAAGAGAGCAATATGCTAGGGTATGGGATTATGGGAAGGCTGTACTGAAATACAACCCTGGGTCTGGTTGTAATGTTGTGATTGATGGCATTGAAAAGCCTGAGCCTCCCTTGTTTATGAGGATGTTTATTTGTTTAAGGCCTTTGAAGGATGGGTTCTTGAAGGGTTGTAGGCCAATTATAGGGGTGGATGGCTGCCACTTGAAAGGAGGTTATCCAGGCCAGATTTTAGTTGCAGTCTCCAAGGATGGGAACAACAGCATTTACCCCATTGCTTGGGCAACTTGTGAGGTTGAAAACAGGGAGACTTGGGTCTGGTTTCTGGAATCCTTGATGCAATGCATTGGAAGTGCAGATGGGGCAGGCTTTACCTTCATGTCAGATAGGCAGAAGGTAATATTGTTTTGATTATTGTAGTCTTATTTTCTGTCCTGTTCTTTATTGTTTGAAGTGTGACAAGTAATTGTTGATGATGTTAAACAGGGACTGGTTGAAGCTCTGTCTGAAGTTGTGCCTAATGCAGAGACTAGGTTCTGTGTTAGGCACATTTGGGCAAATTTCAAGTTGAAGTTCACTGGATCAGTTTTCAAAGAGCTCTTTTGGAGTGCTGCAAGAGCAACAACATTTGTAAGTCTCTAGGTGACCTTAAATTATTTTGAATAAGTAAATGCATGATATTGTTCCTGTTCATGTACCTACTTCATGTAATAATGTTCCTATTGTGTATAAAAGCAAAATAAGAGCAACAACAGTTGTGTATGTTATTCTTTCATGATAATGTTCCTGTTGTGGTTGTAGGTTGAGTTTCAGATAGCCATGCAACAGATTAGGGAGCTTGATGAGTATGCTTACAATTATTTGGAGAACATCCCCACTCATCACTGGTGCAGACATGCATTCAGTGACAGTTGCAGGTCCAACATGTTACTAAACAACATGTGTGAGACTTTCAACTCTGTTATCAGAGATGCAAGAGACAAACCTATCCTCACCCAAATGGAATGGATGAGGAGGTACATGATGAGGAGAAATAATGAGAAGTGGGAGGACTCCAAGGAAATCACAACCAACATCACTCCATATGTGCATAAGCTATTTCAGAGGATGAGCTATGTGGCTAGGAATTGCATAATTGAAGCTGCCAGGGATGACACTTATGAAGTGCAGCTGAATGATGACCAGGTTCTAGTTGACTTGCCAAATTGGTCTTGTTCCTACAATCACTGGCAATTAACAGGCATCCCATGTATTCATGCATTTGCATGCATAATGGATCAGAGGGTTGATGCTGAGCAGTTTGTCCACCCCTATTACACTATGGACACTTACAGAGCAGCATATGAGCCTGCAATTCAACCTATGCCAGGCCCAAAGCATTGGGAGAGAGTGAACATGAGAGAGACTCATCCACCAGCATTCAAACAGCAGCCTGGAAGACCTAAACAGAAGAAGAGGAAGCTGGAACCTGGGGAGGGAACATCTGCAACAGGAGGGGAGCAGGGAAGAAAGAGGAGGAAAAGTCAGTGTAGGATTTGTGGTGGATTTGGCCACTATCCCAAGACTTGCAAGGGCCCACATGAACCTGAACCAACTGAGCAGAGAACTGCAGGAAGGCCTCCTTTAAATGTACCTTGGGTAGTTGAGCAAAGGAAGAAGAGGGAGATCAAAGCTGCTAAGAAGGTATGCTGTTGGATTTGTAACTTTTCTTTTAAAATTTGTGATGAAATTGGATGTTGATACTTGTTTATTGGTATTTGTGTTTAATAAACAGAGTGCAATAGGGGCTGGTCCAAACAGCATTGGGAATAGGACTTTTCCCCAAGAGCAACCTGGCTGTGAACCATTGAGTAAGAGGAAAGGTTCACACAGTCAACAAGGGCAGCCACAAGCCAAGCATCACACCACCCCCTCTTCCAGCCAACCTGAACCCAATGCTACTGGAGTGCAGACAAGGAGGGCTAAGCTGCTGACTTCCAGACAAGGAGGGCTGACACAATGATGTTTGAATTGTTTTTCTGAACTTTAGTTGTTGGTTGTATTTTCTGAACAATCAGTTGCAATATTTGTAGCTTTACTTTTGGGTATAGGACAAGGATCCTGTTTTGTTAAATTAATACTTTGCTGTAAGGCTTTACCAGCCAATTTTGTTAGGCACTGCAACAACAAATTTGATAAACAACTTAAATGCAATATCAACTACTTAGGTACTTACTTAATTCTTTGCTTTCATAATTGTGTACATTAGTTTGCTTGCAATAGTGGTTCACTGCCACTTATAAATCATTACATTACCATATTACTGTTTCATGCAATTACTAGCATTACAAGTTATACTTGATGCATTACAAACCCCCTAATAAGAAGGATCACTAATATGACCAAACTAATCCCAACAGCAAGACTAAGAACAGAGTGATCTGATCTAGCATTCCTTCCATGCATCTCTCTGTTCATCTTGTTCCTGTCAGAGTTTAAAGCCTTGCATTTCATTTTCAGCCTGTCCACTTCATTCAGCAAGCACCTCAACTGTCCACCAAGATCATCAACTTCCCTCTTGTAATCAGTAATTTCCCCCTTCAACAGTTTCTTATCTAGCAACAAATTGTTGATCACCTCTGTTTGCCAGGCTGTCCCATCTTGTTCATCCACCCATTCAAATGCTTTACAACCTCTGCTCTCAGTTACAGGATCGTAGAACTTGCATGTTCTGAACTTACGACCAGGGTTCTCCCTTGTCCAACTGGTAAGCTTTGCAAAGGGAACACCACATTTGCACTTCTTCTCCTTTGAAGGTGAGAAACTTGTAGAAGACATTTCCTGCACCAATTTGCCATCCGTAATAAGCAAAACCATTCGTACTATGAAAAAAATACAATTGAACCAAGGGAATTAAACAGTCACTCCTACAAATCAAAACCCCCAAATTATTTCTACAATGAACCCTAATTTCATTTTCTCGCAAATTACAGCACAATTAACACACAATGAACCATAACTATTTACGAATTACATGACTATTGCCAGATACGACCTGAATTATGCATTTAAGTCAACAACATATAGATTAATTTACGAATTATTTTTGAAAGATAAATTAGGGTTTCTAAAGTGCTATTGACGCAATTACCTGATTTGATATCTACGTCCCCCAAACAATGATGGTAAAATCAAACAATTTCGCCAATTTGTTAGTCAGAATTCGCAAAATGTGAAGCAATTTTGTGTAATCAGCTCAACAATTCTACATTAGTGAAGGATGTCGTAACTATATAAAGCAGTTTGGAAAAAATAGCCGTTATTGTGGGCCCAGCTAACAGAATCTCTAACGTTGTTCCAATTTAGGTGGTGAAAGCAAAATTTTTATTTTTTAACAGGTGTTATAATTAAACTTCGAAATCTTAAGGTGTTAAAAACAAAATTAGGTCTTTTAACAGGTGTTATTTTCTAATTAAGCCTATTTTTTGTAATGCAAATTCTGAAATAAATATTTATTAAAAAAAAATTAAAATTACCAACAATCATAAAATTTAATTCTCTATAAATAGACATGCATTTTGGTATAATTTCAGAAATACCATAAATCCTCCATATTCTTTATTTTAACGATAAAAACGACACAAATAAAAAAAAAAAAAAAAAAGTTACACAAATTTAGACTAGTTTTTATTTATTTGGAGTAATACTGTTAAAATATAAATGAAATTAATAGATAAAGCAGTGTTATGTAGGAGAGAGAAAGTTGTTTAGGGTAAAAATTACCCTAGACACATGGCCCAATAAGGGTCTGACACGTGTCACCTCCCTATAGCACCATGGGCATCCAACCAATGGATGCCACGTGGCATTGTACCCCCAATGGGGGAGCAGATCCTCATCTGCTATAAATAGAGGAATCTACCTCATTTATTGGCATTCATAAACACACACACAAAACCTGAGCAATATTAATTGCGGAATCTCCCGGAATCCGAGAGAACAACCAGTTTACTTTTCGCACGTAATCTCATCCGGAATCATACTAACTTGACCTTCGGAGGCGGAACTCCACCCAACCGGAGTTTCGTGGTTTTGCAGGTACAGAAGTCAGGCGTGCATTCCCGGTGTTGTAACTCTCCCGTAGGACACCTCAAAAAATCCCGAAATAAAAGTAATGATGAGTATTGAAAAAGTAAGAGAGAGGGAGTAGTGGGCAAGCATTTTATTTGCTCACCATTGGGAGAGAAATTGTGAAAAAAATTTGCCCATGGGCAAAACAGATTTGTTGAGAGAGAAAGTGGGTAGAGAGATAGTGGGTGGGCATTTTTTTTGTTCACCATTAAAAGTGATCTTAGCGTGCGTGGTGAGAAAATGTCGATGATATAGTGGTGGTCTAAGAAAAATAATAAGAAGATGGTGATGGAGAAAGGATTTAAAAATCACAGTGTTAACTGTTACCTTAGGAGGTGCTGCACTAGGTGCATGACAAAATGGGGGGGGGGGGGGGGTTGAGTGAAAAAAGTACTAGACAATATATAACCCTATTTCATTCATAGGGTGACAATTACCCTTATACTAGGCAATGCCTAAAGGGTATTTTGAGCTTTTTGTAATGGTACAGAGGTAATTAGTGCGTGCTAAATTAGCACTTTTTGTTATGCTTACATACAAAAGTTATAGTTACTACTTATCGTCTCTAGTAATTAAAATTTAATTATTAATAAATTCTAAAGTATACTAATAATAAAACAATATACATAATAAATCTAATCTAATATATATAAATAAAGTAGGAATTTTTAGAGAGCATTCGAAGCGCCACGTAAGAAATATACTTATTTCGACCAATCAGAAGAAGGATTTGTATTTTATTTTTGAATTAATAAATTATGTCGCCACCTAGATAAAAGTAACGAATTAGATTTGATATATCTAAAATTTTAATGCCACGTAAATTATAATCCACGAATTAAATTATATTAATGAAAAAAAAAATAAAGTAAAAATATAAAAAAGATAAATTTATTAATTCAATAGTTCGAGTATAAGAAATCCAAAAAAAATATACTAAAAAATATTTAAATGATAAACGCTTATAATAAAGTCTGATATCTATCAATTATAAGAACAATTTTGATAGTATTTTTGATAAGAAATACAAATTGTTCGTTAATTATAATTAAATTAAAATTTGTGATACCTACCATTATAAATTGACACATCATACGACACAAATAAAATTTCATATCATTAAAAAACCCCATTAAGCGAATTTTGTGTTAATTTTTTATCATCAATGGCCGGGTAATTTTTAGCTTAATTTTTAAAAATCCTATGTTAAAATTAGTATTTCTAATTATTACTTACATTGTATTAATTTGGGATACTCAACGATTATATGTTTATGTTTTATTTACTAAATGTTTTTTTACATGCAGATCTAACACATCATACGACACAAATAAAATTTCGTATCAATACAAAATCCCATCAAGCGAATTTTGTGTTAGTAATTTTGTGTTAGTTTTAGGTCATCAAAGTCCGGGTAATTTTTAAAATCTTATGTTTAATTTGTAATTATTAGTTACATTGTATTTATTTAGGATACTTAACGATTATTTGTTTATGTAATAGCATACGATTAGATGTTGTATACTTAATATATGGATGACTTTGGTTATTTTGGAGATGATGAAAAAATTCCAATGCATAGATTTGATTTTACGGTTATTTCATGAAATGCCACTGAGTAATTGCAAAATTCACCAAATGCCATCCGACTTTTCAAAATTCACCAAATGCCATCGAGTTTTAACAAAATTCACCAAATGCCATTTTCGTTAGTTGACCGTCAATGTCCGTTAGTTGACCCTTAGATGACCCCACCACTTGCCACGTGTCACATTCTGATTGGTCCGTTTTTTAAAAAAAAATATTTTTTAAAAAAATTAAAAAAATAACAAAAATAAAAATTAAAAACTTTTAAAAATAGTAAAAAAAAATTTATAAAATTACAAAAAAATTAAAAAAAAAAAAAAGAAATTAAGAGGTGGCAGCCACCACCTCCTCCCTAACTGCCGACCCCAAAACCCTAGCCACCACAACCCCTGCCGCCGGGGCTAGCACCGGAAGGCGCGCTGGCCTCTGGCGACCCCTCCTCTTCCCCTCCCCTACCCCGTCGCGACCCCCTAACCAGCAAAACCCCACCCCCTTTCCTCCACCACCCTGAAACCCCACCCCCCTTCTTTTCCCTCTCCGATTTCTGGCACCCCAAAACTCATCCCCTTCCCCAACAACTTTGTGATTGGTGCGAGATTGGTGGAGGAGTTTGTGGCCATTGATGCGAATGGTGCGAGATTGGTGGAGGAGATCTCGGCGGCGGTTTTTGGGGTCGAGGCTAGCTGTGTGGGTAGTTTTGGGGGTCGGCGGTGGATCAGGTGAGGTGCTAAAGGGCCGACCGGCCGATTTTTGTTGGTTACGAAGGTGGCCGGCCGTTTTCCGACAATATAAGGGGATGGGCAGGGTTTCGGGGTGGTGGCTGGGGTGGTTCAATGGTTTCTGTTTTTTTTTTTTTTTAAAATTTTTTAATTTTTTTTTGGTTTTTTTTGTTTTTTTTTTGTTTTTTTTAATTTATTTTTTTAAAAGACGGACCAATCAAAAAGTGACACGTGGCAAGTGGTGGGGTCCACTAACGGTCAACTAACGACTATTAGTCATTAATGGCACTCGGTGAATTTTGTTAAAACTCGGTGGCATTTGGTGAATTTTGGAAAGTCCAATGGCATTTGGTGAATTTTGCAATTGCTCAGTGGCATTTCATGAAATAATCGTTGATTTTATATCCAACAATTTTTCATTTATTGGTAAATATATTGTTTATTTTATATATATGTAAATATTTAATTTATATCAATTCAGTTTGGCTAACATTTCACGGTTCAATTTATCCATTGATGTAGTAGGTTTGTTGTGGACGAGGTTGGTAATTCTATCGAAATAAAAGATATGGTACAATGAATAATGATTTGGATTTAAATTATTAAAAATTTATCATTTCACATTAAAGATTTTATATAACGGAAAAAATATCATATTTACAATTTATTTATATTTAATAAATTCAT